TTTGAGTGAATTTTACTTTAGTTGTTTCTTTAGGGTTGTAGTTTGGTTTGGATTTGGGGGAAATGATATAGATTGATTTGATATGTGAAATAATTATGTAGGATAATAGGTGTTTTTGGATTTGTTGTTTTCTATTTTTATTATGATGAAAAGGTGTTTTTGGATTTTTTAATCAATTATATAAATAGTAATAAAGAAAAATAAATTTGGGTTATTACCGGATGTTATTCTGTTCGGCAATTGTAAATTTCCAAGTGGTGATCTCGTTTTCATCACATCCGAGTTTTTTTTTTCTTACACAACGTTTCAAACGACAATTTTACATAAACCAGTTACAATTATTAAGTGGGGTGGGGAATCATTTGTTACACGGGTGATTAAAGTGAATCGGAAGCATGAAAATAAATAATTACTCTCGCATGCGAGCGTGTGAAGGAATGACATCTGCAAGGGGCGGAAAAAAAACCGTTGTCGTTCCACCAAACTGAAACCCCCCGAAGCTGCTCACGAGCACCGGTACTAGACTTGAAACAAGGCACATTACTTCGAAATGCTTAAATCATGGTACATAAAAACGAAAAAGGACAACAACGGAATAGCACATGGGTGGCGAAAGACCAACGGTACGAATGCACAGAGTGAACGCCGTCCCCGAGCAAAGGATTTCAATGCTTATTCGTCAGCGAGATCCGGTAGAACATCCTCACATATCGTGGCATAAGTCGAAGTGGGGGAACGGCCGTGTAAGTAGATAGTTGTATTTGGGGTATGCCTGATGCGGACAGCCAAAAGTTCGTCTCTGTCATAGTTGAAAACACCAGAGTATATTGATTATTGAACTCAACACTTACCACTAGCCATGCGGCTTTCTCCTCGATGGTTGCATTGACGAGTCCCGTTGTCGTGTCCCAACGAAGGCCTGTCTCCCGAACAACTAGGTCACATAAGAGAAAGTACGAGGACCGAATCCGCTTCAGCTTCTCTTTTAGCTGCCCCAGCTCAAATGCGTAACCGGTTTCGTGATTGAATTGCTCATGTACCTCGTCCCAAAGCTGGACGCGGATGTGAGGCCCATCAAAGCCTCTAGCAAGCCACTGTACCCATACAATGTGTACGAACTTTTTTTCAAGTTGATAAGTCCACCGCACCGGTGGAGTACGTGACACCCTGGGAGTCCCTGCACGAGAAGGAAACATCTCTCTACTTTCAATAACTAGAAGGATAAAGGCTTCGAAGCACGAATGTTATTGTATGGAGTATTAATACATGGGTCACAAGAATAAATGCTTGGTCGTACGTGCAGGGAGCAAGGCCTATAGAGGATAAGATTCGCAGATACGATCGTATTAATTATTTATGTCAAGTCTTTTCATAATGTAGGGACAACCTGCAGACGTAGGGAGGTCAGAAGGGTGGATGGGGGGTGAATTCCGTGGTATGCGCTTATGGGTTGCACGCCTAGTCACTTCAAAAATTAAATGGAGGTGATGTTAATGTCGCAGGTATAGTGGTGCAAGATGGTTGGGCTTTTTTAAAAATGACAGAAAATATATAATGAAGTCTATTTGCGTGAAGAATCCCTTGTAAAATGCAGAATAACGGGTAGTTAAGGCATGAAAAAAAAGAACATTTGCAGCGTTGTAGATAACTATTACAACTATTATGCGTAAGTACTATAATTGGATGAAAAATTCCAGAAAGGGGATGGGAACACCAGTAGCAACACTGCAAAAGAAGTTAGACACATAACGACGTAATGGAAAACGTAGTTGTAATCTGAAATCGAATAGTCGTTCGGGGGTGGGAGTAAATAGTGGATCGGAGGTTCAATTGCAAAGTACCGTCCAAGAATAAAGGGTGTTGCAATGGACAAACCTGCCAACGGTAAAATGCTTCAACCGGTACCGGAAGAAGGGGGACCTACGTAAACGCCTCCGTCAGCAGGATGACGGTGTGCGACGTGCAAAGGGCCTCCACTCTCTCCTCAATGACGCGCAACCTCTCGTCAATCCGCGCCTCTATACGAAACACACGATCCTTTATCGCGCCAATGCGTCCGACAATTGTAGCAGATGTGCCCTCGTCCGCCGCATCATCTGTCGGGGCCTCAATTTCCAGAGCGGTGTCACTGCGCATCCTCCTCCGGACAAGGCCCATTTGAATAAGCACATCAACTCCGGCAGGCCTCATCGTCGACGCCGGGCTTTCTCCGAAAAAGATCTTAACGTGTAGGCCGTGGGCAAGTCGGGTCACATAAGGTCCAACCGTGATGGTACGAATCCTGTCATCCGACGCTTGCCTTGCGAACAGTCACGCAAGTCAATACCCAACGTGAATAGAGACCCTCCTCTCCATACTCCAAATATATTTGAGATCGTCGGAAGTGACCACACTCATGCTTGAGTTGCGGCCCGTGAGCGTGTGCGCCAGTACGTAGTGCAGGTACCGCAATGCCGGGGACCGGAGAGCTAAAGCCTTCGACTGACCTGGGTGGTATATGTGTTGGTTCATCACCGATTGCCAGCACATTTGTTGTGTCGCTTGCAACTCCTGCGTCAGCGACCGGTACTCGCTGGTCTTTGTAAAGTCCTCGTCGTACAAACCCATGGCCGTAGAGAACTCCGCGCTAGAGATGCAGAAGAACCTATTCCCCAAACTGAATTAGAGTGTACCCGAGTAGTCGACCTCATGTAAATGCTTCTTGTCCACCTCTAAAGTAGCAAGAAGCTTCAACGTCAGAGTCCGATGCATGTCGTCAGTTATTGAAAAGAACCGGCGCCACGCACCCACGCTAAGGTATCCCTCAACCTTAGCCGCGACGTTCAATGCTGTTATAGCTTCATCGGAGATGTAGCGGCCCACAAGAAAGGACACACCTTCAAGCTGTTCAAACTTTACAGCCTGGTCCAGATTTTGAAAAGGGAGCAGAGTCGTATCTTCAGCAGAGGGCGTTGCTCGCGCGCTCGCCACAGCGCCCTTCTTCGCAGTACGGCTGCGTTTTTTTGCAGGTGCCATCCCAAGCAGTTAACCACGATCCAACAAAATCGATAAAAAAAAATTTCTCACATATCGAATAACTTTCATAGGAGAGCAACATACCTGTCAATGAAAACAACAAACGAGAAACGCCACTGCCACGTCGACATTAACAGACAAGTGCAAATCCTATATGGCCGACGACAAAAGTCAGATTTATTGAAGGATCCGTGAAGAAACAAGTAGCCTGCACGGCCATGCATACCACTGTGTAAAGTCCCAACCCTGAGAAGGCAGGGATTTAGAAGTGCCGGTCATCGGAGCCCTACGCACTACTACACAGACGGAGGGGGAGAGGGCTACAACCCGGAAACCCCAATATCCGAAGACGCTCATAATTTCTCATGGATTTCGATAGTCGTTATAGCGACTTATAGAGCACCCCAGTTGCGAAGTCTACCCTAAACAAATATGTACTACGAATTGCAACATGTATCTTTTTATCATTTTCTATGACTGTTGATAACGGAGGCTGCCTCGTCACGACAAAGTACTCCCACTTTTGCCGGTACCGTTCTATCCATGTTATTCCACAAGTTCGCCCTTATGAGACCTTAACCCAGACTCCCCTCGGCTAACGCTATATTAAAACCCTCCTTGGTACCCTCTTAATCGCCATTCTAGTTAGGTCAAGAATTAACAGATTGAAACCTTCTACCTTAGCCACAGGATGTCTGGCATCACAAATACCCCTCTATCACCGATTGACAACACCGAAAACCTTAACGATGCAGATCGAAACACCTTTCACCGGGAAAATGCAGATCACACCCTACTCCTTCGCGATAAGTAATAGCAGACATCGAAGAGATGCGTACCTTGATCCGTCGTCCCCTTCGAGCCTTGCTGATACTGGCCTGGGCGCCGCACACCTGAGCCTGCAACGTTGCTCGCCACAGAACTACGGTCCAAATGCGTCGTACCCTTCGACTCGCCGGAATTCCGTCACCCGGTTTCGGACCATCAACTTCGCAAGGATTGTGTGCGCGATGCTCTGCCTGTAAATGAAATGTCAGGGGATGGTGTGCACCTCACCTACCTCAATTAATGGTTAATTTTTTAAAAAAATTAAAAAAGATAAATAGTTGTAGTAGGTATGACAGCCTAAAGAATCTCTTCAGATCCTATCAAATAGACATGTCGAATCGTGTCATAAACGGGAATTCGCGCCCAAACCCGGACCCACAGTGCCGGCACAGTAAATTTGTCCCAGATCGTGTTTAAGAAACACACCCATTGATATCAAAATTATTATTTTTAATATATTTATTAAAAATCTAATTTTTATTAATAATACATGTGTTAAAAACAATTACATAAAATAGGTATTAGATAGGATATTTTTACTTTCTTTATGATAGATAATAAAAACATACATTTGAAATAAAACCGTTTTTAATAGTATTTTTTTTAGATGTAAAATACTTGTTGAGTTTGAGATTTATTTTTAACAAAAAAAAAATTAAATGATATATTTTAAAAATATTTTGTTTGTATTCATTTTATATTTAATATAAAAATATTATTTTATAGTAATTTATTTTGAAGGGATAATTTATATATGCTTATATTATATATTTATATTGTATGTGTATTTATAAAAGTGTATCAAAATTTTTGTTGAGTAAAAATATCATTTTCTTTATAATTGTTTTTTTATACTTTTTTATCCAATTATATATAAATATATATTTTATATAATATCATATTATTTTACTAATTAAATTATAAAAGTTGAATTTAAAAAAGAAAATAATAATAAAAGAAAAATCTTATCTAGCCATTAGTTCACCTAAAATAGGACAAAATGATAATAAAAAAGAAGGTATGTTTGGTTTTGATTTCAAATCAATTTCTATCGGTACAATTATCATAAATATTAGATTAAAATATTATATAAATCAAATTTTAAATTACGAATTAAGACCAAAACATACCCTGTTGTATATAATTGCTATTCACAACCAAGCCAGCGCTTTTCAAAATAACTATGGAAGGACTCTGACTAGCTTAGCTATGGAAGGAGCCGGAGGTCTCTGCCCATGCCTTCGATCCCGAGTGATCGAGTTCCTTCTTCACTCAGTTAAGGTTCTAATCAACTCTTCTCTAATCACATGTTTATGCTCATATTACTAATACAATTTGTAGGATAACTTGAAATTTCTGATTCGTTTTGTTGTTTTCGGTACAGCTGCTAGAAGTTTCCCCAATCGTTAAGTACTCCGCATTGTCGCTGTTCGCCGACCGTTTTTGTGCAGCTTTCTCTAGGTAAACTAACTGCTTTACTCTTTAGTTGCGGCACTCTATAATTTCTATCCCTCAATAGGTTGTAGAACATACTGAATTACTAGGTCAAAAGTTCTGACGATTGTGGTAAATTCTATCCTATAGATGATATTTATTTATGATTTAGGGTTTTAGACAGTTTTTGTTCTGATTGAGAAAAAAAGTACCACGGAGGTAAGGGTGAAAAGTGAAGGAAAATGGATTATAGCTGAAAAAGAAATGATAGTTGAGCCATTTGGTAACTGTGATTTGTTTGGTTAGCTGAAAAATCCTTATTCTTCTAGGTGTATGGTGTTTGGCCTGTTAACATGTAGCCTTTTTAGATCTTACAAGCATGAAGCAAAGTACAAATATTATAATAGTGGGAAAACTTCACCAACAATGGCATTAATCACAAATTCCAGAGACTGATAGCTGTTACATTCTATATCAAATAAACCTTTGTTTGTTTTTTTTTTTTTTGATGCCTGAAATGACTCTGCTTCCATTCTCCAATTTTCCCTGTTTACACTTGAGACTCCTTTCCATATTCTCCACTCCATGGTCCTTACAAACCATATTTGATGGCTCATCTATCCTAAGATGAACAGCATTCTACATGCATCCACACCGTGAACAAAACTATAGGCAACTGATTCCTAGACTTCCATTGCTTGAGTGAAAACCATTTATCAGTTCTTCTTGATCTCAATCCTTGCAAAGGGTATCTTGGCTATCTCTACTAGAAGTATGCTTCTATCAGGACCTGACATAAAATAGTAAACACTCAAAAGAATAAAATAATATAATAGGGGGAAAGTCAATTCATCAGCAAGAATGTTATGTTGAATGATTCTTGTTATCCAACAAGGTTAGTCTACATACATATACACAATTAGGACTCAGTCCAGGCATAAAAACACTAGTAACCCTATTCTAGTTATGCTCTAATCATAACTGTAAATATTCTATCTACGACAACTCCAATCTATATAGTTTACACTTTACACTTCCTATCAAACTGGACTTTATATATATATTTATCATGCTGAATTTGTTACAAATATGGTTAATCCATACTGCATTTAATGCCTTGGTAAATATATCTCCAAGTTAATCAACGGACTTAATGCATTTTGTGAGATAAACCCTTCTCGGACCTTATCACGGACAAAATGGCAATCAACTTCAATATGTTTTGTTCGTTCATGAAATACTACATTAGATGTAATGTGCGGAGTAGTTTGATTATCACACATTAGTTTTGTTGGAGAGTTAAGTTTGTGGTCATTTTCTTTCAGCTAACTGTTGTTTGTATACCATTTTACATACAAATATGCCATGGCTCTATACCTTGCTTTAGCAACAGATCAAGAAACTAAATTTGTTTCTGTTTCGCCAATATGCAAGGTTGCCTTACACAAACACAGTATCTTGAAGTAGATCTTCTATCCTCCTTACACCCAACAGATTCTGCATCAATGAAACATTTTATTTTACAGTGACCATGCATAGTATAAAACAAGTCTTGTCTAAGCATCCCTTTCAAATAGCATAAAAGCTGTTCTATGAGGGCCCAATGATTGACTATAAGCAAATTCATAACCTGCTACCACACTAATTGCTAACACAATGGGATGAGTTACAATTTCCGACAAGTTTTCAATATTTCTTAGGGTCATAAAATAATTCACCATTACCTTTCTTAAATCAGAAGCCAAGCGTTACAACAATCCACTAACTCCCAACTCATAATTTAAGAAAGGTAATGGTAGATAAAACTTCTTTTGAGATATCAAAATTTCCATTCTTGTTTATCATTATTTCGAATTATGGAAAGTATGCCGATGGCTCTAAGTTCTTTGTTTGGAAAATTTCTTGGAGAAATAACTTCATCCCAATAATGTCAATAAGTGACAACATTATCAGTAGCATATACAACCAGTAACATAAACCCAACTTGTGTATGTTTATACAAGATTAACTGATTGGATTTGCATCTATGCTTCCTAGATCTCAATACAACTTGATTAGATCTGTCAAAGCAAGTGTCAGAATTTTGTTTTAGACTTTTAGTCCATAGAAAGATTTATGAAGGCTTTTTTACATGGAGAAAGACATTATTAATATCCAACTAATGAAAAGACAAATCATATGTGGCCATACGGGATATTAACAAATAATCAAGGTTAATTTCGCAGCAAGGGAAAATGTTTCTGTAAGTACTGGATATGGGTGATAGGGTCTCACCAATGATGGCCGGAGAAATCTTTGTATCATTAAAGTTCACTTTTCAAATACAAAATTTCTACCCTTTCTTGTCTCGGGTTACACAAAATTTTGTATCGGGATAATACAAAGATTCAATCTTGATTTCAGGCAATAAAATCAAGAAAAAGAACCCGAAAGAAATGAGGATGAAGAAACTGTAAATCTGCAGCAAGGATTCTGATTCGTTCTATAGGACAAACCAATTCCTGGAAAAAAAAAATACAAACACACCCCTTCAGTTGCAACCTTTCAAATTGAAATGATAGTTTTTTACAATTTGAACTTTAAATTCAAAACTTTATCATGAAATTTTAAAGTACTGGACAGATGAAGAAGACACACCCTTCAGTTGCAACCTTCCAGTCTCAAATGACAATTGTCTATTGGCAATGAGACACTGAAGTCCTCCCCATATTCATCTTGTTCTATTACTATTTCACACTAGACTTGTGAAACAAATTATATTTAAACACACAAAACACACGAGTCATACCAAGAATACGCTAAAATTCTCCTCCCCTTATACAGTCATACACCGTAAATTCATGCATAAATGAAAATATCTTGAAGATTGAATTTTCATCTTATTCACACGTTTCAAAAATTCGAGAATCAAAGTTTCCATAAGATTGAATATTTCAACTCATTTGAACACATGAGGTAACGTACACACGAATCTATCATTCTTTTCAGTTCGTACTCTCTATCCATTCATAAGCATATCGAAAATAACTTCAAACTTTCTTGAAGCGGCAAAACTTCATGCTTGCATAGGTAATTCCCAAGGTTGTCGCAACGACCTTTTTCGGCGAGGCACCTGTGGACCGCCATACCTCAATGGCGACAAAATACGAATACGACGCTCTGTGTACAAAATTATATAAATGTGTATTATGTGTTATAAGTATTAAATTCTAAATAACTAGACAAACAAGAATAAAATTTTATGTTTAAAAATAAAAAAAAAAAATAACTGTACAATAAGTAATACTCTCTCCGTTCCACATTGCATGTCCGGGTTACGGTACATACGAGAATTTATGATAAGTATAATTAGTAGATAATTAAGAATGTATTAGTGAAAATAATTATCCTATAATATAAATAATTATAGATTAAGATTAAGATAACTAATTAGTTTAGTTAAAATTTAAAATATTTTAGATTAGAAAATTTAAAATAAGATTAAGGTACGTAATCATTTTCTAAAAAAAGAAAATAACATGAGATATAGGACGGATAAAAAGGGTAATGTGGACATGGTAGGTGGAACGGAGGGAGTAAAAGATACACTAATACTGGATTAGTATAATAAAATAGCACTCGTGGAGGGGAGTCTAATTTTGGAGCACTAGAGAACATTACAAAATTTTGAAAAAAGAAAATTTGAAAGTTTGAATCCATGAATAAAAACACTCACAGAGGAATAAAGTTGTGGGATAAAGCAGCAGAATGAAGGTGCTGGACAAAGTGATCGGACAATAGTAGGGAGACCGAATGAAGTTGTGGGATGAAGCAACAGACAAAGCTGGTGGACAAAGCGATTAGACAACAGCAGGGAGACCGGGAGAGAGCAAGGGAGAGAGAAAGGACAATGAGTTAAGATTATATTGGTTTCAAGGGGTTAGATGGCTAAGGTAGGTGTGGTTTGAGACTAGGTTTGAGACTCCCAATGTTCTGAGTTACCCTAGACAGTGTCGTTGAGGCGTCTCCGAGTCATCGCCAAACCGTCTTATTTATAAGGTGAGGCAATGAGTAAGGCGTTCTTAAAAAGCGGCAACACGCTATGGCGGCGCCATGGCGACATCGTGACAACTGGTAACTCTTTTCAATCTTGCTTCTGCATTAGCAAGTTTTCGAAAAACTAATTAAGAGAACAAGTCTCAGCCTACTTTTCTTGCAGGTCCGAACGTAAAATTTGGGATACATTTATTCCAATCTCTTATGAGCTTTTCACATTGAATTCAGCTTCTAACATTATATTAGGAGGGAATTGAGTGTTTCACATTTAGTAGATTTAAATGGACTTTAATCTTATCCCAATTGACAACTTGTGCACTAAGTTCCTAGCCAATCCTTTTATCAAATTGTCAGCCATATATTATGTTGTGACCGAACAAATTCCATTGAGATCACCCAATTCGTGATCAATTCACGAATCATATTGTATTTAACTCCTAAGTGTCTAGACTTCCCATTATAGATTTGGCTATATGCTTTACCCATACTTGTCGCACTATCACAATGAATAGAGATAGGTGATACTAGTTTCGTCAATAATGGAATGTCATAAACCATATTGTGAAGCCATTATGCTTTCTTACTAGCTGCAACTAAAGTTATGAACTTAGATTCCATTGATGAATTAGTGAGGAATATCGCAATTTTCATTGACATAAAACTGAATATTACAAATACAACACAAAACCTTATATAATACAACTATTAAAATACCTAGAATGCCCTTATACTATTATAAATACAAAAATACCCCTATACATAATATATCTAACACTTCTCCTCAAACTAGAGAATACAAATCGTATGATCCAAGTTTGTCACATAAAAATTTAATTCGAGGGCCTCTAAGAGATTTAGTAAGAATGTCTACAAGTTGATCATTCAAAGCAACATGGTGAGTGGTGATACATTCAGATAACACTTTCTCCTGAATAAAATGACAATCAATCTCTATATGTTTAGTCTTCTTGTGAAACACCGGATTAGAAGCAATATACAAAACAGCTTGATTGTCACAAAAGAGTTCCATTTATGAAACTTCCACTATCTTGAGTTCATGAAGAAGCTGTTTTATTCAAATAAGTTCATATGTCGCTAATGTCATGGCTCGATATTCTGCCTCTGCACTTGATTGAGCACCAACATTCCGTTTCTTACTTTTCCATGAGATAAGATTACCTCCGACAAATATGCAATACCCCGAAGTAGAGCGTCTATCAACAGGGGATCCTGCCCAGTCAGCATCTGAATAGCCAATTACTTCAGTATGACCTTGATTAGTGTACAATAATCATCTACCATAAGACCCTTTGATGTACTTCAAGATTCGAATAGTAGCATCCAAGTGACTATCGTATGGAGACTGAAGAAATTGACTCACAACACTCAACAACGAACCCCTCTGGTTGTTCCATGTAGATATCATCTTCCAATATCCCATATAGAAAAACAGTCTTCACATCCAGTTGCTCAAGTTCTTAATTATGATGTGCAACCATTGCTAGTAACACTCTAATAGAAGTGTGTCTAACCAGTGGTGAGAAAATCTAATTATAGTCAACCCCCTTTTTCTGTGAGAACCCTCTTGCAACTAGCCGAGCTTTATATCTATACCCTCACTCGGTGTGGCTTATTCCTTCTTCTTGAAACTCTATTTACAAGTAACAAGCTTCCTATCCTTAGGCCGTTTGACCATCTTCCAAGTGCCATTCTTGAGAAGTGATTCAATCTTTTCTCTCATTGCAACGAGCCAGTGACGAACTCACTACAAGAAACAACTTTGTATGTGGATGGTTCCTTTTCCACCTCATTACCGACTTGTAAGGCATAACTCACCATATCCTCAAAATCATATCTCAAAGAAGGCTTCACGCATGTTCTCCTTGCTCTAGCAACAACTAGGCTCGTTTGGCGAGCATGCGGAACATCTGAATTAGTAATTTCAGATGTAGTATTTTCAGCAGTAGGAGCACCCGGAACATCTGAACTAGTGCTTTCAGATGTAGTATTTTTAGCAATAGTATGTTGATCGTCTCTACCCTGGAGTTGTGATGCACACTTCTCGAAAGTGACTTGCAGCTCCACATGTTTATCAACACTACTACAATTCTTCACAATGGGGTTAAGCATAAAATTCTCATCAAATATCACATTCCTAGTTAGTATAACTCTATTCTCAAAAGGTGACCAGATTCTATATCCCTTAACTCCATCCCGAAACTAACAAATATGCCCTTCTTAGCTCTTGGCTCTAATTTACCCTGACTTACATGATAGTGTACAGTACAACCAAAAACTCTCAACAATGAATGATCTGCAGGTTACCATACCTCGTAAAGTGTCTTGCCATCAATGCCAGTGTGAGGTCCACGGTTGATCAGATAGCACGCCGTGTTACAGTTTCTGCCCAAAACCTTCTAGCCAAACCAGCACGAGAGAGCATGCATCTCGCTCTCTCCAGTAATGTCTTATTCATGCGTTCTACCACATCATTCTGTTGCAGTGTATCTCTAATGGTGTGATGTCGGACAATTCCTTTATCTTTACAGAACTCATTGAACTCAGACGAACAGAATTCCAGGTCATTATCAGTTTGCAGCTTCTTAATCTTCTTCCCAGTTTGACTTTCTACCAAGACCTTCCACTTTTTGAACCTCTTGAATGCTTCACTTTTATGCTTTTATCATAATTACCCAAGTCATCCTTGAGTAGTCATCAATCATAGACAAAGTATTTGTGACCTCTAATAGGCTCAACACGTGCGGGCCCCAACAATCCATATGGATGTAGTCAAGAGTCCCATTGGTTTGATGAACACCCTGTTTTGGGAACTTGCTACGATGAAGCTTCCAAACAATACAATGTTTGCAGAATTCAAGATTCTGCACTTTATGCCCAGAAAGAAAATATTCATCCTTCTTTCTCCATATGACCTTCGTCATTTGTGAAATATGCATGTCTTCATTCAAGGTGCAGGATACCCCTCATGTGTCTGTATCCTGATTGTGCCAATTCCAACCCCCTTGCAGACAACGTTGTTGGCCATGTAAACATTGCCTCCATATATCTGCTTATAGGTCGAGAAAAACTCACTGTTAGGACAAATGTAGTATGATGCCCTAGATCTAGAACTCACACATGATTACGTTGTGACTGTTCATCAGCAACCAAGGCCAAATTTTCTTTAGAATTTGTATTCTTTCCCAATTTCTTATGCCCCTTACTCGTAATGAACATCCTTGATGCCAAATTTTCTGTGGCCGAACCAAATGCCTGTTGACAATCTTTTTCTACTGTGGAGGGCATATTGAACATCTTCCAGAGACAAATTATCTTTTCTAGTAAGAATATTCAACAAAATTCTCATATGACTCGGGCAATGATACTAATAGAATTAAAGCAGCGTCCTTGTTATCTACTTTAACATCAATATTTCGCAGATCAAGTAGAAGTTTATTTAACTTATCCATATGGTCCCCAAGAGAGGTACATTCCTACATTCGTAGCATGAACAAACGTTGCTTTAAAAACAACTTATTAGTTAGAGATTTCGTCATGTACAAACCCTCCAACTTCTTCCAGAGGCCAACAGTTTCCCGATTGGCAACTTTGATGATTACATCATCGGACAGACACAACACGATTGTTGAGTGGGCCTTCTCCTCTGCGGTATCCCACTCTTCATCATCTACTTTTGCATCTCTCGGTTTTCTAGATAGCGGCGCCCACAAATCCTACTGCTTCAACAAAGATCGCATCTTGATCTGCCATAAGCCAAAACTATTTCTCCCGATCAACTTGTCAACCTTTATGTTGAAAACAGACATTGTTGATCGACTCATAAAACCTTAGCATAGTGGAAATAAACAAAATCCTGATGTAAATAAACAGAACCTTGATCGAAACGCCCAGGCTGTGATACCGGTTTGTTGTGACGGATTAGGATTAATGATTGAATAGCAAACAGAAACGTAAAGAAGATACAAATTTACGTGGTTCACCAACAACGTGTTAGCTACGTCCACGCCCAGTGAGACCCCTGTGAAAACTCAACGAAGTGGCAAACTAGATTGAAGGCATATCGACAAATTCTTATAGATTAATCTATCAATGGCTTCATAAAAAATATTTCTTAATGTTAGGATACTAAAACCAATATGTTTTATAATTTGTACTCTAGATGTGCAAAAGGTAAGATCAAAACAAACTGGGTCGTGTAAGATTTTTCACTTGAGTTGCTTAAGGTAGGCATACCATAACCACAATGGTATTGGTTCATCGCTGAATCACATATGATGATCCCAATCAGAATGAGTTTTATGTACTTTTGTATGTTATCTTTCCTGGATGTATTCAAAAGTCAGTTTAATCCTTGTGATTATTTAAAAGGCTTGAAGATGGAAAGAGCAGAACATGTTGGCTTCTACATCCCATAAGAGAAAGTAATTTGCAGCTATTTGCTCTTGTCTCATTATGGATCTCAAGCAAAGTAAGTATCTGTTATTAGTTTATTAGTTGCATCCCCCTTTTTTGTTTTGCTTCTTTTATTACTCAAATGTTCAGTGTATTGCAGATACATGACACACGTCCCATTTGTGTTAAAAGTTTGAAAGCATTGGGGGATGAGCTCATCAAGGATCAACATTACACAAAGGGTGATATATTGGAAGCTGTAAGCTCTTTGTTCCGATAATTTTTATGAGATTCAGCTTTATTTTCTTGTAAGTTGTTTTAGTTAACAAGAATGCACAGGAGATGGTCTTAATGCAGGTATATAAATATCAAGTCACCATCAAACTGTTGGTTGTAATTGTAGGCGCTGATTGTGTTTACTCTATTTTCCTGAACTACTCATGCTCCTTCAAGACCCTAAAATTTGGGATTGGCACATCCAATACTGCTTTTATATTACTCGAAGAGCTTCTTAGTCTATTGAGGTAAGACTTTTTGCTATTGAGTTATTGGCGGGATTTTCTAATTAATTCTTATATTGTTGGGTTGGCCAATTTTCTTCTAATATCTCACGTTTAGGGTGATTGCCCGAGTTGGATTTCACGTGAAGATGGAAGCATGTATGGATATTATGGATATACTTTATGAAAATGAAGTGACATCAGTACCTTACAGCTCTCCTCAAGCACTTTCTGCATCAATATTGGAATGTGTTTGTATTCAATCACGTGAATCAAATTATTTCAATTTTTATTTGTCATATATTTCAAATGTGTCTTACATCTTTTGCAGGTTGTTGCTTATGTCACTACGGTACCTCTGGCGAAGTGGGAGTTTCCTATTCTTCCTTGGGGTAAGAATTTTACAGGATATAAGTGATCACTTTTAATTGTTGTATTTATCCATTTCATTTTCAAAGTTTTGTTCTGTTTCTGTTCGAAAATTGAATAATAGCTCCTCTCCCCGCCCCCATATGATTTGTATACACTATAAATAAACTTACACAATCTACTATTTACAGAAAGTCTAAAATCTGCCAAAACGAAATTTCAATTCTTGGAAGTAAAATTCAACTTTACATTCACTACCTCTCACATTGAATCCATGAGGCTTGATATCGTGTTTAACTTAGATGAAAAACAAAGATGGATGTCAAACAGAGATAGAGCTTCAAATAGTGATCATGACTACCACCAATCACCCATCTCATCTCATGTGACAAACTTTGATGAATAACACTAGTATTGGAGAATGAAGTGACACTGCACCAAATTTTCATAAATCTCAAGAGTTAAGGAATATCCTATGCTGAATATTTAGTAGGCAAAAGTTCTTGCAGTCGTAGAACCACAAAGTCGAATTCCGTTTCCCAAAATTGTCATCGCACTTGTTGGACAACTTATTGTTTTGTCTGCAATGATCACTGTAGGAGGATGTCAAATCACTAGGTGTTGGATAATCGGTTATTTATGTAACCAATTAATTGGTGAGTGAAAATGCAACGGGTCGGTGTACTAAATTAATTAGATTTATTTATTGTATACGGGGATTGGTTAATATTTTGGCTATTTTGCCTGTCTCGGGACAAATCAAATTGTGCAGCCCTAAATTAAATCCGGGTATATGGCCTAAGTTGCAATATTATTTGGATAAAATATTATCCGTTGGATGGATTTATTATAATCTCAAACTGAAGGTTTGAAATTAAAATAAATTACAATCTTTTCAAACGTAATGTTTGAAATTAGAATAAATTACGATCGTCACAAACAAAAAAATTTATTGTTAGAATCAATTACAACCCCTTCGAATGGAATGTTTAAATTTAGAATAAATTACATCGGTAATTAAGATCGTAATTATGAACGTAATTGATCCTCTATCATTTTGGCCGAGTGAAGACGCCTATATAAAGGGCCTCCCCCTTCATTCTAAACACACCGACAACAATATCTCCTCCTTCCCTCTTATCTTCTGACTTTCCACAACTTCCCCAACTCTGTTTCTCTTTCGCTTTGTTCACCGGAGCTTCGACAATCTGAAGTGTCACTCTCATCGAAGACGAAAACTGTTTTATCTTTGGGTTAGAACGCCAGCCACTGGAGACACTACCGAGGCATATCTAATTTTTGGAAAGAGGATTCATCATCGACTCGGTTTCACGATAGACTTTCTTTTCGCAATACCCATTTTGCTAACAATCGAAAATTAGATACTACTTTGCGAGAATGTTAATTCCTACCGACGCTGCCGGAACCACCTCATGAGCCTCTGCCGCTGCCTCCGGAGGAGTCGCGGATTCGCCGCTGGAGGAGTCGCCGGAACAGTTGCTAGAGCCGCAACCAGAACAGTTGCCGAAGTTGCTACTCTTCATTTGGGCCAATTCCCTTTATGACTAGCCCTGTGTTTTCTGAGTTTGCCCTAAGTGGATGTGGGGGCTTTCGTGGGTTTGTGGCCGCACCCTCTGCTATCTTTGCGGGCCAAATTACTGGTCCTATGCTTGGCCTACAGATGATTCCCTATGTACCAGCTCCAAAACCATTCACTGGAGTTGACTTTAAGTGGTGACATGAGAACATGCTTTTTTACTTGACTGCGATTGAATTTTCCATATTTGTGCTACACGATGGCCCATTTACCCCAGAGTCCGATGCGGGGGGAGGCGGTGCTGACTGCAAATTATATCCTGAACAATATTCCACTTAAGGGTAAGGATGCTACTCCTTACGAACTATGGAAATGTAAGAAACACATATACAAATACTTCAAAGTGCGGGGGTGCCTAGAAAAAATGAAAGTTCCGCCTCCAAAGCAAGTCACTATCGGCCAAAAAACGATAGATTGCATATTTATCGGATATCCACTAAACAATAGTGCTTATCGTTTCATAGTTCACAAATCGGAAATCCTTGGGATGACCAAGAGAACTATGATAGAATCAACGAATGTCATACTCTTTGAAACTATCTACCTTCGTAAGGAAATGATGCAGTCTAACTCAAAACCCGTAGATGAAGAACTACGGAGCGTAAAGAGACAAAGGGCCAATAGCCCTGATCGAGAGGCTTTAGAACTTAGGCGTAGCAAAAGGACAAAGGTCGAGAAAACCTTTGGTCAGGATTTTGTTACGTATATGTTAGACAATGATCCAACAACGATCAAGGTAGCACTATCTAGTCCTGATCCTCATTTCTGGAAAGAAGCAACATATAGTGAAATAGATTCAATAATACGTAATAACACTAGGGTGTTATCTAACCTACCCGAAGGTTGCAAATCACTATGGTGCAAATGCGTTTTGAAAAAGAAACTCAAGGCTGATAGGTCTATTGACAAATACAAAACCTGTCTCGTAGTAAAAAGCTATAACAAACTGAAGGGTTTGACTTTTTCAACACCTATTTACCAGTAACCAGGATAACATCCATTCAAATGCTTCTCTCGATTGCGTCTTTGAACAATCTTGAGATTCACCGAATTGATGTGAAGACTGCTTTTCTAAATGGTGAATTAGAAGAAGAGGTATATATGGAACAACCGGAATGATACGTCGTCCCTGGCCAAGAGAAAAATGTGTGCAAACCGACAAAGTCCATGTATGGACTGAAATAGACACCTTTACAGTGGCACTTAAGCTTTGATAATGTTATGTTATCAAATGGTTTTAAAATAAATTAGTGTGACAAGTGTGTCTACTTTAAAGAAACACCTTCTGGTTTTATCATAATTTGTCTATATGTAGATGACAGTACTGATCATGGGTAAGGATGTTAGTCTGATCATTGAGGTCAAATGCAAGTTGGGTCGTAACTTCGACATGAAAGATTTGGGTTTAGCTGACGTCGTCCTTGGAATGAAGATTCTAAGACAAGACAAAGGTATTGTTCTAACTCAGTCCCACTACGTGGAAAAGATACTGAGAAAATTCAATGCCTACGACAATACTCCAGTGAAAACCCCAATGAACCTGAGCATGCACTTGAGCAAAAATAGGGGAGACCTTGTAGCTCAAGAAGACTATGCCAAAATTATTGGAAGCATAATGTACTTAACAAATTGTACAAGGCCTGACCTAGCTTGCCCTGTAAACAAACTGAGGCGATGCACTAGCAACACCAATCATGAACACTGGAAAGCGCTAGTAAGAGTATTAAATTATCTTAAATTTACTCTGAATTTTTTGGCATACACTACACGGAATATCTACCGGTACTCGAAGGGTATTGCGATTCCAATTGGATATCCGATGCAAAAGACTCACTGTCTACAAGTGGATATGTATTTACAATTAGAGGATGAGCTGTTTCTTGGAAATCCACAAAATAGACGTGCATTGTACAGTCCACAATGGAATCGGAGTTCATCACCTTGGACAAAGTTAGAGAGAAAGCCGAATAGCTGAGGAACTTTATGGATGATATTTCATACCGGACAAAACCAGTACCTCCCGTGACGATTCACTGCGATAGACAAACTGCAATAGCAAGGGCTAAAAATAGAATCTATAACGGTAAATTCTGACATATTCGACGTAGACATAACTCTGTAAGGCATTTGAATACCATTGGGGTTTTGACTATCGAATATGTAAACTCAATAGAAAACCTAGCGAATCCGCTAGGCTACAGAGAGATCAAATGTACAAACTGCTAAAGGGAATGTGTTTGAAATCCACAAGATGACATTACAGTGGTAACCCAACTAAATCACTTAGAAATTCCAAACTTTGGTTCAATGGGATAACTAAGCTGTAAAAGTCAAGACACGAGCACTTAAGTACAATTCCCTGAAAAACAATGAGTGTTATAATGTGCAAAAGTGGTGAGGTTGAGTCAATGACTCTTAATGATTCTAAAGGTGTAAGTTAGATACATTGAGATAGGATTACTAAGTGTGAAGTGTGGGCCGCTTCAAACGAAACACTTATGTATCCAAAGACGAGATCCATGGCCGAAAAAGATCAAAACGTGAGAACAAAGTTGAGACTGAGATAACACACGTCAATATTATTGACTAAGTGCACGCAAAGGTGGAAGAGTTCAATGCATCACTTCAACTGGGCCACCAATTCAAACTACCTGTCCTGATGTGTCAATGTCTCACAGGGTCTCAGCTGAGCTTATGTCATTTTTATGAGCATTTCCATTCATGTGGGGGATTGTTGGATAATCGGTTATTTGTGGTGAGTGAAAATGCGACGACCGGTGTACCAAATTAATCAATTAATTAGATTAACTTGGAAGAAAGAAATAAATATTATTTATTTATTGTATATTGGGCTTGGTTAATATTTTGGCTATTTTGTCTGTTTCGAGACAAACCAAATTGTGCAGCCCTAAATTAAACCCGGGTATATGGCCTAAGTCACAATATTATTTGGATAAAGTATTATCCGTTGGATAAATTACAATCGTTTCAAACGAAAGGTTTAAAATTAAAATAAATTACAATTGTTTCAAACAGAATGTTTGAAATTATAATAAATTACGATCATCACAAATGGAAAGTTTGTTATTAGAATCAATTACGACCGCTTCAAACGAAATGTTTGAATTTAGAATAAATTACATCGGTAATTAATGTCGTAATTATAATCGTAATTAATTCTCTGCTATTTTGGCCGAGTGATATAAAGGGTCTCCCTCTTCATTCTAAACACACCAACAACATTCTCTCCTCCTTGCCGCATCTCTTCTAACTTTTCGACAATCTCCCCAACTCAGTTTTTGTCTTGCTTTGTTCACTGGAGCTCCAATGATCTGAGGTGCCACTCTTATTGGAGACGGAAACCGTTTTATCTTTGGGTTAGAACGTTAGCCACCGAAAGCCTTACCAGGACGTATCTAATTTTCGGAAAGAAAATTCATCCTTAACTCAGTTTCACGGTAGACTTCTTCTCGCAATACCCATTGCTATGGATGAATTTTAAGAGATGGTCCGAGAAGATCTCTTCTGCCTAACCACAGCAAAGGACGGAAGTATGTTAAAATTGGGACATCATTGCTTGCCAACAAATGAACTCTAGGAGAGTGAAGTGAATAGCCAAGATTAACAAGAATGTAGCCACTAGAAGTTCCTCCTTTCTAGTATGAGCCACCTGCAGTTAAGTTAACACCTATAGTCCAGCCATCACTAATGTTAAACTACTCCATTAACAATAAACATTTGAGCCCTCCATGTCAAAATCCTGGGCTGACGATGGGCGCTGGATTTCTTCCTTTAAGCAACTTAGATTATAGAAACTCACTTCTATTTAAGCTGGCTACTCGCTACTGATCAAAATATTCTTTCTATTACTTCTAATTACAAATATTGACCATCGAGAATAATAATAATAAAGTTGCCTATTTCTGCAGATCATAAACTGATCAGATTTACTTTATCTGATATGAAATAATTATTTTAAAAGTATTGGGCAATGTGATGTAGGTAGTGCATGATTGATTTTATTTGGATTAACTTTGCCTTTTTGGGAAATAAATTTTATTTGTTTAGTTGTTTGACGTGGCATAAATAGAAATTTAATTTATATTTTGAATAGAAATACATATTGTATGCATATTACATGAAAGATTAAATATACAATGTGATATTTTTGGTAAGATTAAAATCGATTATAGTGAAACATGTGATGGATAACATAGGGTTAAAACTTACTTGAAAATATATATTTGCACATGCTAATGGGTCCGGGTCCATTTACAATGCTTCTGTAGTAAAATTTGTCACCTCGTGCAAAGATGAGGAAATCATGAAATCAGTGGAAGCCATTCTGAAGCACATATTCCAATTTCAATCCGATTGAAAATCAATTGTAAGTTGAAAAAAATATGTGCTATGGTTACTATTTGTATTTCCTTTACATAGATCATGGTATACAGCTGGTTCTTCCACACATAAGATACCTACCACGCATGCAATCAGCAGCCGATTTCTTGGTGCAAAACTCCTAATAGATGAAAAAGTTAGGCAAAATTTGAATGCGCAACAAAGTTTGAAAGGATTTACCAACTATCTCGTAAATGGCAGCAGACTTAAGATGACAGTTGTGCTATTCATTGAATATAGCTGGCAGGTTTCTTACATTGCTAAATTATATGAATCTTAAGTGTAGTTATTCTATGGACACATGATAGTGAACTCATTCAACAAGTTGTGTGTTCTATAGTTACTTTGCAGTATGTGATCTTGAGAGTTTACTTGTGTTTATGTAATGTTTTGAATTTAAATAAGTGATGGATACTTTCTCATGGGAAAATGAAATAATACCCTTGTCCGGCTCTAAGGGTCTCATTTATTTTTTTCGTGTTGATCTTTGAATATTAATTATTATATGAAAACGTAGTACAAATTAAAAAAAAATTGCAAAAATACTTTCATTAGTGTCCTATAATAATAATAGAATGATATTTGTACAAAAAATTATATAAATATAAGGATATTTTTAATGTTAAGTGTAATGACGAAAAAGATAAATGTGACCCTTAGAGGCTGACGGATGGAGTATATTCTTTAGACTGAATAATACAAAATGAGTAAAAAACACGAGTAAACTCAGCCCTATCCCCTTTTAAATGGACATGGTTTCTTCTTTTCTTTTCCTTTTCTTTTTCAATGGTAAGTGATTCATTAATGATGCCTGAAAAAGTCGTTATGCGGATTTATGATAAGAGTATTTGTTAATTAGAAAATACCGATAGATGTCAATTTGATTGATATAAATGCTGAAACCAAGTCCAATTTGGCAGAGGAGGACCATCACTGAAAAGGTAATAACAGTTCATAATGTGTTACAATAGACTAAATAGTGTAAGTGGTCACCAGCATTATCTTTTTGCACTTTTCCAGGGGCCAACGAAGGCAGAAGAAGATCAACATTAAAGCCAAGTTAATACCTACCGGGTACGAATACAGCACATGTACTCCTTTCTTTTCAAATCTCCTAAAACAATCTTCCTGTTATTTTCCCCATAGACTATTAAATATGTTTGACATACAAGAATAAAAGAACACAGCTCACCCAATTTTTTGAAATATTGTGCAAGGCTGTCTGTGTGTTTAGTAGGTTTAAACTTTTTTGCTGTTTAGATTCGATTTCGATGATGAAACCAAACCGTAAGTAAATTCCTAAATGCACAATAGGATGGATAGTTCCACTAGCCGAAGTCCTACGATTTGTATCCTTTTGGTTTTGTAAATTGTTAGAGCATAAGTCTTCTTATGATAATAGTTTGTGTATCTTCTGTGTCCGAATTAGTTTCGACAATCGAATGAAAGGTGTTAAATAATTTAAGAAAACACAATGAGCTAAGACGAGCTATACTGAAAAGGCCGGGCAATTTATTTAACGACGGTGAAAAGAGCCTCGCCCTCTTGAATTGATAGATCAAAACCTAAGACAGATAGTAGATCACATTATGATGAAATAAGCAAATTGCTAGTACATGAAAGTTGTTATTTAAACAAAGACAAGGGTGTGTTCCTTTTGTGAAAATTTCATGCATATTTCTTCAAAAAAAAAAAATTAATATATTATACACAGTCATTATTTTTATATTACCTACACAAATTCCTACATCTCACCTAATATATATATATATATTCCTTAAACCTTTTTTCACATAAAATATATATATATATATATTCCTTAAACCTTTTTTCACATAAAATATATATATATATATATTCCTTAAACCTTTTTTCACAAAACAAACACACCCAAAAATATTTTCATTATCTATCAAAATATAGTATTTCTTATAAAACATTAGTCAGATCATAAATACAAAATATGTATGTAAATCAAATACACTCTATATTATCTAAATATTTCAGTTTAATTTTCTTAATATATAATACATCTGTTTGTAAACAATAGTAATATGTTATTTAGGGTGTCAATAATATTAATAAAATATTTTATTATTTAGAATAATAATATTAAAATACTCATCTCAACAAGTATTTTATTTTTATTAGGACGTAGATAATATTTTAATCTTTACTTATTTTCATTATATATGTTTATGTGCAAACAGCAAATATGACAATGGACAATGGAGTATATTTTAAACAATTTAAATTTTAAGTTAGTTGGCTATGTATATACCATATAGATTATTTATTATTATTATTATTATTATTATTATTATTATATATATATATATTTAAAAAAATGGAAATATATGTTGAATCCAAAAGTCTTGTTGGGTCTATTTCGGGTTGGATTTGAATGGAGCCAAAGTTTGTTGAATTTGGATATTTGATAGAAATAAATATTTACATTTGAGTCAGATTTGTACCTATTGCCATCTATATTTGTATTGTTGAATAATAATAAAAAAGTTGTTAATCTCATTAAAATTTTACTGAACTACATGCTAAATACCCTGAACTATGGTGTAAATTTGGTGTAAACATACTTCTTACAGTAAAATGATATACATATTGTTTCGAGACATAATTACATGGCACAACCATGTAAATATATTTCTTGCTTTAAAATATATATCCAAATCGCTTCACGCCACAATTGCAAGTTTTAAGTAACCTCTAAAACACCATCATTGCGACAAAAAATGTTTCATGATTTTGAACAAAATAGTCTTTAATCCAATAAAGAACATCAAAATCTGAGAAAAAAATAAAATAAAACTGACTATGGTCTTAAACAGTACTTGAATAGAATACAAGAAAATCATCAAACAATTATATAGCCCAAAAAATCCGAATAACCGATGATTTGGTGGTCGCCTTTGCCCGGATTCCGGTGGCTTGGCTTGGCTGGCTTCAAGAATACAATAATGTATGTATGTATGTATGTATGTTTGTTATGTACGAGAATCCATGGCTAGAATGGTGCTAAGATTCATAGGATTCATGTGTTGGACAGAGCCAAAGGTGATCTGCTCCACAATGAATCTGTTAGCTCTCTCGGACGGATGGAACGGATCCCAGAAGGCGTAGGTGTCCCGATTCGGACACAAGTTGGACAGCGGCGTGCAGAGTCCGAGTCCATTGTTGGGACCTTGCCCGCAGCATGCATCCTTCGCCGTCTCAAATCCTACATAGTAGTAGTAAGAAAGAATATATATATATATATATTGTTAAAATATATTTAGAAGCAATATATTAATTTATGGCTGTTATCTTATTTAAGAAATTTATAGGATTCTTGCCTTATTTAGACAATTTGTATATCGTTATAAATATGTACGTATTCTTATGATTAAAATAGAGAATTTCAGTTTCATATTAAATATATATATATATATATATCGAAATTCATTTGAGAAGGAGAAAGAAGAAGAAGAAGACTGTTAGAGGTAGGGTAGGGTACCGAAAGCTTGGGGGTTGGTGACGAAGGCGTAGTGTGTGAGCTGCGTGTTGGCGGCAATGAAGACATTGTCTCCGAGCTGGGCGTTGAGGCCCAGCAGCATTTGTTCGAGCTGCGGGTTGAAGAGGGAAGCCGCGCGTTGGAGCTCCACGGAGCACTCCCCGTTTACACCTCGCTGGGCCCTTTCCGCCGGGACACACCCCAATGGTCCTGTCCCCGTCACGATCACCCGTCGACCTCCCAATTCGTAGAGTCTCTGTTCAATTTGTACATCATTTATTAGTACTATGAGTTTTTTGCGTATTGATATTTAAATATTAATTATTACAAAAATATCTTTATTAGTATTTTATAATACAAATACAATGACAGTAAATTATACAAATATAAGAATATTTTCAATGTTAGTACAATGATAAAAAGACAAATGGTGGTCTTTATATGGGACGGAGGTAGTATTATTATTTTTTTTCAAAAAATATTACATTAAATAAATACTTCGTTCGTCCGCCTTTAAGTTCATATTTACTTTTTGTGTCATTGTATCTAACATTAAAAATATTCTTATATTTGTATAATTTTTTTTATTTACAAATGTTGTTATATTAGTATTATAAGAAACTTCAAATAACACACAATAAATAAGTAAATGAGACGGAGTTACTATATAAAAACAAAATAAGATTTAAAAAGAAAAATTATAAGACAAATGGGTGAACATATAATTCCCATTTAAAATCAATGGGATAGGTTTGTTTCGCTGCAGTGATTATTTTAGTAGTTCTTTTACTATTTAATTGTTGTTTTTATTTTAAATAGTTTATGTTCACTTATTGTTTTAAATATGTATTATTTTTTAAAAAATAATATATATATAACAATAAAATAATGAAAGTAAAAAAAATCAGTAAATTATTATTTTTAAAATTTTTTTATAATTCTACTGGTTGTATGGTGAAAACAAACGAACACATCTTCTTAAAAGAAAAATTAATATATTATGCATATCTATTATTTTTATATTATTTATTTTACAAAAGAAACAAACGTTGTCTAGCAACAAAACACCTAAAAACTTAAATAAATTAAGTTTGTATCTAATAATAATTAAGTTGACATGATGTTTTATAACTAGATGATTAAAATTTCTCATAATCAATGACGGAATTAGCCCTCGAATCTCGAGAGGAAAAAATATCAGTTTATTTCTATTAATTTAATATCTTTTTTTTTTTTTTTTTTCTTTGGTGCAACAGTTAAAGAAAAGAAGAAAGAAGAAAAAAAATTGAACAAAAATATATATATTTAAAGTGAAAAAAGTTAACACAATTATATAAATTTTATTATTTTTTTTAAAAAAATAGAATTAAAATTAAAATTTTAGGAGAGCAAATTATTAAAAAACATAAATTTATTATTATTTTTAAACTGAAAAAAAAAAGATTTTGGAGGGCTGATGTTCAGGTGCACCTAGCCTTCACTTAGTTCCATCTTTGCTCACAAAAAGAAAAAAAAATAAAAAATAAAAAATTAGGGAACAAAACTTCACAATAATTTATAGCACAGAGTGCAATTGAGTTATTGCATATGTTCCATTGTTGTTAGTTGAAGTTGGAACATTAATAATAATAATAATAATAATAATAATAATAATAATAATGGTATGGTTTTAATTTGTACATTTAATTCAAGCAAGCTGCAAGCCCTCCCTCCCAAAATTTTTTTAAAAAATAAAAATAAATAGAAATAGGTTTTTGTATGTCTACACTAATCAATCACTACATGACAGATATATGGCCATTCAATGCAATCTTCGAATTTATTACACATACTCTTATTTCAATTATTTTTTAAATTAAAGATAAGTTAGCTGTCGGCAAAATTTTACTTTATTACTATTTCATATTATAAAATTCAAATATAATTTTTGAAAATTTACAAAATACACATACATATATATATATATATATAATTGAAGTATCATTCAATTCGACCTAAAAAAAGGTTTTGCAATTTGCAATATTCACTATAGTTGTATGTATTTCTAATTTCGATAAAATAAAAAAAATTAAAAATTAAAAATAACTGGTTACTAGCACAAGCCAAGTATTCACACTTGTTTTTCTTTTTTTACATGTTTTATTTTGAAACCTTTATTTATTTATTTACTTACTATTTTTCTTTTTGAGGAAATTATAAATATGTATACTTTAATTTCTAACAAATTATTGAAATTTAAATGGGATCAATGGTAAGATGTGCATAAATACTTACCAATAAAACCTTTCGAAACTCGGAGATGATAAATGGGACATAATTTGGGATAGTGAATTGGCGCGATCTTGCGGAGTTTCGCACCAAATAATAGTTGTTGACGAAATCGTTGCCTCCCAAAGTCATCAGAACTAAAGATTGGCTAATTAGGCGTTGTGTTTCGGCGATACCGATCAAAGCGCTTACTCGATCTTGATATTGTTGGAAAAATTGTAGTTGTTGATTTATTCTTATGATGTTCACCTACAAACACCATCAAATTTGCAAATATATTAGATATATACACATGTTCTTTTTTGAACTTTTTTAAAAAAATTAAAATGAAAATAAAAATTTAAATGTACAATTTTCTATTATTTGAATATTTTCTAAGAGTATAGTTGAATAGTGATTTTTATTTGAATTTTTTTTTTTTTAAAAAAAAAAGAAATTAGTAAAAAAAATTGGATTATGTTTATATGATAATTTGTGACATATAGTTAAAATAAGTATTTAATGTAATATTTTGTAAGATAAAAAATATTTTATATAATATTCTTTGCATATATATATATGTATATATATATATATATATGGTAAAATATCTCCTTTTTCATATCCCTAAAAATGATTGTATCTAGCACATGTTATATTCAAAATAGAAGGTTGTGTTTGTACGTATACTTTTGAAATTTTTGGCACTAATTTTTAAAGAATATTATAGAAAATATCAATTTTATCTCACAAAATTAAATATCATATAAAATACTATCCAACTTCTTACTAACTATATATATACACTCAAATAACATAAATTCATTTCACAATAATTTTAGCGAAAACTTTTTAAATGTCCATTTAAAAAAAAAAAAAAAGGTCATATATGAAACTAAAAAAATAATTTACTAAAATATTTTATAAAATAAAATTTTTAAAACAATTCCGCGTGTCACTGACGTGGCGATGACATGTCAGTCACGTCAGCAACGACGGGTCAGCCTAACAAGTTCGGCACAAAGGACCATTTTAGCGAAAAATTTTGGACTATTTTCAGACAAAGTCCATTTAAAATTTTAAAATGATAAATGGGTCGTAAATAAGTAATAAAGAAAAGAAAAAGAAAAGGTTGGGGTAGATGGTGGAGTTAAAGAAGTTCATACAAACTGAGCTCCAGTGTCATTAAGAATCCCAACTCCCGCCGATGCAAAATTTGCTCCCACCAGCAGCCTCTCTCCGTTCAGCTCCGGGCTCAGATACGGCAGCGGCGACTCCGACGCCCCGATCCTCTGACCTATATATATATATATATATATATTTAATTAATTTAATGAGGATGATGAATTATGAATATATATATATGTAATGTACGTACTGATGAGATCGGGGATGTTGAAGCCGTTGGAGAATCGGCCGGTGGCGACGTGCGTGGGATAGTCGATCCCGTAGGGCGGCGCGTCGGCGCGTGCAGTGGTGGCCAAGTAGTTGTTGTTGCCTACATCCACCAGAGAGTCGCCGAACACGAAGAATGCCCGCGCCTGACCCTGACCTTCCGCCACGTCAGCCAACAACAACAACAACAACAACGCCGCCGCCGCCGGCAGAATAAATACGTTAAGATTATTGCCATTACTACTATTGCTGCTTCTGCTTCTGCTTCTGCTTCTGCTGCTCCAAGTCGAGTGCTTCATGGCGCCCGTCCAATTAATTAATTAGGGTTTTGGGGGATATATAGAGAAAGAGAGAGAGAGAGAAAACCCTAAATGAAGAGTATCGATGAGCAGAAAGTGGAGTGAGGGTTGTTTATATTTATAGCAAACAGGAGGAGGAGGATGAAGATAATGTGCTTTAATTTGCCCTCGCAAAACTCATTCGCAACCTATTTATTTATTTATTTATTGTACTTACTCTGTCCGTCCCACATTTATATATCTATTTACTTTTTACACTAAAGTTTTAAAAATATTAATATTATATTAAAATATAATAAAAATAAAGATAAAAAGATTAAACTAACTTTATTAATATTATATAATATAAATATAATGACATTTGTTTAATATAATATAAATTAGAAGAGTATTTGTAATATTAAGTACATAGTAATATTACTAAAAAATAAATAAATATTTTGTTATAGGATAGATAAAAAAAAATAAAATAGATTATCAAGGAACGGAGGAGGGAGTATTACTTATCATTTCTTCCTCCTGTGTCCATTGTTGTTTTAGTTTGTTCTATATTTATATATTATTTACTATTACCTTTGTATCTTAACAATCTATTTGTTTTTTTATTTTGGTTTAAAAAAGTATTCATTTCATTTTTTTTTAAGTAACTGTACTATCTACCTAAAAATACCCTTTTAATTTACAATATATTATACAAATATCATTACATTTATATCATACAATACTAATAAGGTTAGTCGAATCATTTTACCTTTATTTCTACATCTCAATATAATACTAATTTTTCTAAAACTTCGTGCAAAAGTAAACGGATAGATAAATATAGGACGGAGCGAGTAAAATATTTCTTAATTATTTACTAAATTTATTATTACTAAAATCTCATATATATCATTACAAAAAAATATTTAATTAGCTACAATATTTTTAATACGAAATATTTTTATAATTAAAATGTCATTCAATAACAAAAATTAATTTCATCGCTAAAATTCATTTTCTAGATAATCCTATTTTTATAACAAAATATTTTAGCTACAAAATCATCTTTAATAGCTAAAACTATTTGGCTAAAAAAGTAATTCATATTTTGTTGCTAAAATTCTTTAGTTATAAATTTTATTTTATAGCAAATGAGCTTTAGTACGAAATTATATCTTAGTAATTATATTTTTTTGTTAATTTTCATTACACAATTTATCTTTTGTTACGAAAATCAATTTTGTCACAAAAGACTTTTACCAATGTGGTATGAACGATGAAACGTATTTCGTCGTAAAAACCTTCTTGCTACGAATAAATTTTTAACCTTTTTGTAGAGTATGGAACAAAAAAATGTAGAATGAAGATATTATTATTATTATTTTTAAAAAATGACATTTTAATATTCATTTATATTTAAAATATTATAAAAAATAATTTGTATTCAAAATATAATATCAAATATTTAGATATGAACGGTTATGAAATTGTAAAAAAATATGAATAGATAATAAATGTTATACAATGTAAAACAATGGATGTTAGATATGATATTATGAATAAAAATTAAAAGTTTAATGTTATATATTTTAAACGAAAATTTAATATTCAATGTAATATATATTTTTAAAAGAAAAAAAGTTAGCAAGAAAAATAAAGTAGACATCTATCATAAATAAATAGTTAGAGAATTTATTTTTCAATTAGTTTTTCATTATTAAAAAAAAAAAAAAAAAAAAAAAAAAAAAACATACCCTAAAATGAATTGAATTGGAAAGTGGTGTGATAATAAATTAAATTAAATGGAAATTAAATTAGAGAAGGAAGCATATGTATATACATTAAGTGGGGGTGGGGTGGAGGGTAGGTCGAAGGTATTGAATTGGACAGTTGTGTGGCAGGTGCACTTGTAATTATATTAATAAATAAATAAATATTATATATATATATATATATATTGTTCAATCACGACCATCCATTAATCCATCATATGTAGCAAAGCACCCAAAATTAATTATTCTTAATTTTCCATGTGTAGTACAATAACAACAACAATATACATCTTTCAGTTTATTGACATTTTTGTTATGAGTTAGTTATTACTCCCTCTGTACACATAATTTGTCTCTATTTTCTATTTTCGTTTGTCCACGTAACTTGTCATTTTTATTTTTAGAAATATAATTATGCACTTAATTGCATTTTAAATTTTAAATTTTATAATTTTTTTATTTTAATTAAACTATTTACTTATTTTAATCTTAATTTATAATTATTTTTACTAAATAATAATCATTTTTACTAATACACTTCTTAATTATTTACTAATTATACTTTACCTAAATTTCTATGTCTACAGTAATACACCCATATTATATGGGACGGAGGGAGTATATTGTTAACTGTAGAAGTATTTTTGGAAATTGTGATTATACTCGAGTGTAGTAATTTTTATTTTCTAAAAAATATTTTATGATCATATAATATAACGTATTTTTTTGGAAAATATGAATTTTTTTTCTGGAATAATATAAGAATAAAAGGAAAATAAAATGCATACATTGATGAAGAGAAAAAAAAAAAAAAGCAGATCGTATTAATGTCACATTTAATTTAACATGTTAAATTTATATGTAAGATATACTATTCTGAATAAGAAAATGATGTTTATATATTTCAAAACATAAAAAAAAAATGATAAATGATAAAAAAATAAAAATAGAAAAAAGTTTAATTTCTAGTTGTGGGTTGATTGTAGTTATGCAATATGTTAGTATACTTTATTATTATTATTATTATTTTTTTTTTTTTTTTTATTTTTTTTTTTTCAATATGTTAGTATACTTATGTGTGTTCGTCTGACCAATTTTATGGGATTTCTATTATTCACAAAAAAAAATTTTTTCTAAAAATATCAAATCAAATATTTATTTTTTATTTTTATATTATACTAAAATAAATTTACATTCAAAATATTAAATCAAGACCTATGTTGTCGGAAGCTGAATGACTGTACGACCGTCTCACACGCCCCCTCAGGTACAAGTGGGGGCATATGGCCCAATTGGGGACAAGCGGAATTCGCGGGATTCGAACTCGAGACATAGTCTAGACTCTGATACCATATCGGATGATTAATGATTGTCTCACCTAAAAGCTCGAACTTTTAGGGAAACACAGTCATTATTCATATATATGCAAACGGAAATCCCAACACTTGTCAACCAATAAAATTTTTATGAATCATTGGTTGTGTTTTTTTATATTATGGAATATATTATCCACATAGCATGTGATATATTGTTTTTAGTAAAATTACAATATGATACTAAACAAATTAGCTCATATTCAAAATATTCGTTTATTCAGATGTTGATTATAATTGTACCATATATTAATTAATTAATTTCAATTGTTAAAATGTGTTATAAGGTGGCTAAATTAAATGATCAGTGTACTAAATAAATGGTTGAAGAATTATTTTAATTCTTGTTGATGTAATGCTATATATAAATTGTAAAACAGTGATTCTGTAGCTTCATCTATATGCTGCAATAATATAGTATATCATTACTATATATATATATATATATATATATAATTGTTTGTCAAATAGCTATGAAGAAACTAGAGGTATCAGAGATGTTTTCTTGGAGTCTCAATAAATAATTAATTATATGTGAAATAATGGTTGAAATTAATTATTTTAAATGGAGGATGATGTTATATGTGATGCTTTTAAATTCAAAATTAAGAGGTTGAATTATAAAAGAATATTGCTAAACATACATGTTGTTGGTATAAGCAAGATCCTAAAATTCATTTGTTCTATTTTTTTTTTTGGCAATGAACATGCATGTTGATATACTGTCGAGTTTTAGCACTGTGTGGTGCCCCGACTGAGGATTTAGGCTTGTAAGGGTCAAACCTGTCGTGCAATCATTACCTTGAGACAAATGAGTTTGTCTTATGTAGAAAGAGAAACAGGACGTGACAGTGCAGTGTGTATATGTTTTATTTGTTTGTACGTTTATTTTCGTGGGTAAGAAATAAAGGAACTAGAGAGTGTTTCTTCTTTACCTGTTTGTGTTGAGAGAGCTCATCCATGGAAGTTTAAAGATGAGAATAAAGATTTTTGGAGTTGAAGCCGAATAAGATATTCATCCGGTAAACAATCTTATTCTTAACTTGGTCGCTGGCCTGCTGGAGTTGTTATGGTGCAGTAACAGCTAGTCCATAAGAGTTTGTATAACCTAAATGGAGCTTGGGTGGAAGCTAGGTTGGGTAGTTCGGTTTGGTGTCTTATATAGTGTAAACAAAGTGTTTGGTTTAGTTAAAACTCTTGGATTGGAATCCCCAAGACGTAGGTTGGAAAACCGAACTAGTAAACAAACTTGGTGTGTTGTTTTTCTTTTTGCACTTATTCAGTTATCGATTTGTGCACAAAAATACACAATTGTTATAACCGCAAGACAACTACGTTATAAAGTTGTGTTTACGTTGAACGTTTCACAGTTCCGCTGTTCAAGTAACACGGAGGCGTTGGACTTCCTATTCGATCGAACACCCGCAATTTTCAACACATGTAAAAAAAAAAAAAAAAAACAATGAATACATTATTTAAGTATTTATTTATTTCGAAGAAAATATATCATATGGAATAAAAGCATAGGGGATAAAATTGCATTGTTTTTACTATTATATTTTAATTTCACAATATATAATGAACTCCTTGGTTGTTTTAAATTCACGCAATAATTTTGTGTGCTTACATTTAATCAGTATTGTGTTGAGTAAATTCGTTATATTGAATGTTTAATGTAAGTATTGATATACATATATTAAGCATATTGCATATATAATTACTACAACTAACATATCAAATAATGAACGTTTTGAACGTAAATCATTTATATAACAATAATGTATTCGATAATATACACACTATAAGAAAAAATTATTTTTGTAACAAAATTTTTTTGTCTCTAAATCTACTTTTTTTCGTTACTAATGATATTAGAGACGGAATTAGTAATAGAATTATGTTAACTACGCGAACTTTAGGGACGGAATTCTGTTACAAAAATATTATTTTTTTGTAGTGAAAATAACATA